AGAAAGCTGATATCTAAAAACCGGGAAAAATAAAGAGTATAATAGGAGAAATCTACAGTGGGATTTTTTTTTCCTCACCCCCAAGTCTATTCTTGAAGTTTGATTTGATTTTTGATTAAATATGTGCAACGGACCTCTTGTCAACCAAAATATAATTTGTCTGTCCTTGAACTGATTCTGTGAGATTTAACTCTTGGGTGTCCTTTAAGCTCTCTAAAACAAAATATGTACTTTTGACTTGTCCTCTAAAAAGATGAGAAGATAGTGTGGCAATACAGTTCAGTCTTCCTCCTTTCCCTCTTTCCCACTCCCTCCACTGATTTCCAGATCAGAGACATCTCCTTTTCACATTCTCTATTCCTTACAGCTTTATTTCTTCCCCTTTCCAAACCCAACAGTATTATTCCATGACTATATGGCAAATGATACCCCATACATATGACCAGCAATTCTTGCATGCAGCAGTTTTTCCCAGTAACTTGTAAATTAGAAACCAGAGGGAACAACTTCTTCCTAGGTAATGCAGTGTGTACATTTCAGAAGGCAGCCTGTTTCTTTAATGAGACATAAACCCATGTTAGTGTATCTGCAGCCAGCACCACATTATATAACTCTAGATTCAGACTATGAAACATAAAATTTTTAAACGCACTTGCCATGGAATGTATGAGATAATCATTTAATATTGCTGTTTCCTTGAAGTTCTGTCTAAAATAAGAGAATTAGGGAAGATGGAAAATAATGTAGCAGTTTCTCACTGGGAGATGGATCAGCAATGTGGTGTGTAGGTACATCTGCAGAGCAGCTCATTACACCAGTTCTGGAACACACATAGCATGTAAGCAGAGGAGTCTTTCAAAATCTCAGTCCAAACCAATGGAGTGCTCTGTTACACAAAACAGCTCTAGTTAGAAAATAGTAACTTCTCTGTTGCTTCTAACAGCTCAATCAGAAAAGCTTGTTACATAGCTAATATACTGCTTTTTCTCCCCCACCTCACAAGTTTTTCACTGTAGTGATTGCAGAGTAACTTCCAGATGGTTACAATGGTTACCTGTAGCTTGACCACTGCTGAAGCCCAAGGTTGATAATTTAAAGTTGTCTTGTCTTTTGCAGAGCTATACTGCTCGCTTTTCAGCAGTGACTTGGACTGCGCTCTGTACATCAGATAGAGTTCATAATTCACACACTAGGAGCTCACAGGACAGCAGCACACCATGTGCTGATTCCTGCCAGAGATTTGGTTCTCTAGAGGGTTTCTTTCATGTTCTGAAGTCTGAAAAGGGGTACTTGCTTCCATCAAAAGTTGTTCTTATTCAAGATTGGGAAAATATCACTGAACGCATTGAGATAATACCTATGTTAGGTAGATGGGTTACTTCTCGGAATGGTAGTAAGGTTCATTCTTTACCCACAGAAGCCTCCTATAGGCAGTCCATAACTATGTTTTTAAAACAAGCTGGGATGACTTCAGGTGTGTATGTTTTGCATTAAGAATTATTTTTGTGACTCCAAGGGGACCGTTTTAAATACTCTTACAGTGCTCTTACATTGCTCTTATGTTGCTCTTATGCTTTAATGTAAGACTCCAGCACAGGAGTCTTGTGAGCCAAACATGTGGGTCGTGGTTTATTTGCCTACAGCTGAGAGAATCTGTTCCTCTTTTCCACCTGCCAAGCCTCACACATCTAGATTTTGTTCTCCCCTGTTTGGAGCCCCAGTGAGTAGAAAGACACCTGTTTTCTTACATTGGTGATGCAGAGTGTTTCACTGGTGGTTGATCACATGCTAGAGCAAGTCACACAGAAGTTATGAGTTTTGGTGATGCTTAAGTATGTTCGGATATTTCAAATAATAATAGTAGATGATTCACAATTTCTTCTGATAAACCTATGAAAAGCAGAATGTAAGAATAAATCAGGTATGCATTTCCAACATGTCCCACTGAATCTACAAGACAATGTGTTGGATATCCAAGCTACCATTTCTCTTTGCTGAGTTATTTGTAATACTGATCTTTGTTTCTTGTGATACTTCAGTATCAAACATCAGTATATGCAGTAAATGTAATCATACACTTGTGTTGTATTTAACAAAGGTGGATGCACACAGTGCCTCATCAATTGCCCATCTCAATTGGATGGTACTCCAGGAGGAATGTGATGGAGAAGTTCTAAAGCACTTTTTGGTATTCAAGTCTATGGAGATGTTTCTTGAGCAATTCCTGAATTTTACTGGAAAATGGTTATGAAATTTCTTTTTAGAAAAAAGCAGCTTTGTGAATATATTGCTGCAGAGAGAAAGAAGAAAGCAGAATTAAACCTGATTAATCCTTTCTCATTCTCCAAGTAACCAAACTGCACCAAAATGGCAATAAATTAGATATTTTTTTTAAATCCTATCCTTTTTTGTTCCCTGAGAATATTAAAATAACATTGGTAAATTTTTTATGTTTGGGAATTATTAATGTATTATTTTAACCTGACATGTTCAGGCTTTTATGAATAAATGTCAAATCAAACTTTATACTGAGGCATTAGCAAGTTGTAAATGTGCCTTTGACATTAAAAGGAATTGTAGGAATTAAGTTTCTAAAGGACTGTTTCCCCAAATGTTCACAGTCCTATGTACACAGTTAATCTTCCTCATATATTACTGTCTCCAGTTTGTACTAATAGTGCAAATCATGGTTATGACTTGAATGAAAACTTAATTTATGATAAGGTAGATGTATTTTGTGAGCTAGCAGACCCAGCTGTGATGCTGGTTCAGCATGTGAACTCTGTTGCTACCCAGTGATTTCCCATCCATCCTGTTTATGGCAGGGCCATTTATTTCTCCCTGTTCAATACAGAACTCTCAGACTATTCATTTTATGGGGAAGTCCAGGTTTTAACACAAGATAAATAACATGCAAATCACATTTTTTTACCTCTTTATTCTGCTTTTCACTTCATTTGGAAGGCAGTAAGATGGAAACATCTTTTTAGTGCAATGCTATGTGTGTTGTGAGGTATGGGTAAAGAAAACAGCTTTTCCCAGCTCAGTTTTATGGTTGCCCAGGGAAGGTCAGCTGTGATGAGTTGCTCAACAACCATATGCAGCTCTGTGGCAAAAATGTGAGAGTCCCTTGGCAAGGGCTGTAACACATGCAAGGCTGTGCTGGGGCCAGTCTGCTGGATAGTCTGGGCCTGTTCTGTCCAAGGAAACAGGTCATCACTGGCTCTTCCCAGGAGCCCAGATCTGTGGCCAGCCCGGCACTGGTCAGCAGCAGTGCTGTGGGGGAGCTGTTATCACCTCCTGCCTGTGAACTCCTGCTGGAGCATTATTCCCTTTTGGTTTTCTGAGATGTGTGTCTTATGTTTTGTAGAGCTGGGAGGGTTGGATACTCGTGACTGCAATTACTTGGCTTGGGTTTTAATTTCTGAAGGGCGCAAGACAGTCTATCTCTCTAAGATGCTTAGTTAGGGTTAGGACCAGCCAGACAGCCAGCGCTTGCCCCACTGGCAGTCCTGATGTCTGCTGGGGCCTAGGTTTTACTCTTATGTGACCTTAAACAGAGCAAGTTTGAGTTTAAAAGGTGTTTGTCTCAGTTATGTAGAAGACTAGTGTATTAGCTGCTTGAAAAGGCCTTGTTTCTAGATATGACAGATGTGTTGCAGTTTATATAAGACACAAACTTGAAGCAGGAGCATTTCTCTTGCATTAAATTTATGCTCACAGCAGTACCCGTATTGTATGCAGCTATCTTTAGAAACAATCTTGCTGGATATATCTGTGCCCTCAGTGAAATGTAGAAAGCAGCAGTACTGAGAAGGTATTTCATTATTTAAAAGGTGAATGTTAAGATTCACTGCTGCTGCTCTATACATTACACAAACTGCAGACATTACACATTTGTGTTAAATTAAATAATAGAAGTGAGATAGACATAGTATTACTGAGCTTATCCTGCTGACAATTCTGTAGCAGTAAGTTGCCTCCTCAAAATATCCCTTCTTTTCAGTTTTTCTTAGGAGTTTCAATTAAACTTTTTTTCTTCTTTTCTTTTTTTCCCATGAGAGACCAAAGAGCTTGAGAACTGCTTTGTAACATCCCATCCCAGTTTATAAATCATGAAATTGCCCCAAGTTAGGAATGCCCTGAGACAAGTATTCAAGCATTTGCCTGCCTTAAGGGTGCTAGCTGTGACAAGAATTTGGTGGTGGTTTAGTGGATGAACTGTCAACCTTAATCCTCATACTTAAAATTTATAAAGCAAGTTTATTTAGTGAAGTACTTCTTATTTTCTTAAAACCTTTAAAAGTCTGCAAATATTGTCATGCTTACTCTGATTTAAGCCACTGTCCTATTCTACACTTTACTGACCTTATTTTCATTGTAATGTTTATTTTTGCTTATATTGTAGAAATGGTCGTTCTGCAGTAATTTGCCCTTCTAACAGGTTATTTATTAAAGACGTTAGAGAATTGCTGTGCAAAGTGCATTGCAAAGGAGCCCACCTCACTATCTAAAATGGTGCAGTAAAGGTATTTCTCCATTACAAGTTCAGAAGTGTCTGCCTGTGTGGCTGTTCTGAAGTTTTGCATAACTCCTTTCTAACTCCTATGCACCAGTGATCTTTGAATTGCAATCTAGGTGTCCAGTCAGCAGAATTGTTTCTTGAGCAATGACACCCTGTGATGTAGTGTAAAAGCAGAAAATGGCAAGCCCTACCTCTCTTTTTAGGGCTGTGTTCATATGTGCAGGGATCATCTCTTGGCATAGAGGGGCAGTGCTTCCTGGGTATGTGGATTTGTGCTCCCATGCTTTTGTGGTGAAATGTGTAGCTTCAATCAAACCTCTGCACGAACAATGTGTATTCTGACATCTGGGTGTCAGCACATTTTTCAAAGCGTGGAGTGGAGTAGCTTGAAACTGGAGTGATGAAAATAAGTGAAGCTGCAGTGGAGACCATGTTTGTTGGGTTTTAATTGGATATTTTCTTGTTGCCTTTCTAGGTCTGATGTAGTTGTTCTGTGCTTTTCAATTGCTAATCCTAATTCCCTGAATCATGTGAAAACGATGTGGTATCAAGAAATCAAACACTTCTGTCCTCGCACACCTGTCATTCTGGTGGGCTGCCAACTAGATCTCCGCTATGCAGATCTCGAGGCTGTGAACAGAGCCAGACGGCCTTTGGCAAGGTAAAGTTTAAACAAAAATGAGAATTAAAAAAAATCACATTGGTAATCAGGTACAGTGCTTTTAAAAGAGAAATGAGAAAGCCTAGATTCCTTTTTTTGTAAAATGAGAATATATGTGCTTTCTTCTTTTTAATTCTGTTGTCTGCGTTGGGTACTTCTTTAACACACGCAGTTATGATATGTTTCCCCACAATATTTTTTGTTCATTGGATATCTAAACTTGTTTGGGTGCCTGATAATGTAGAGATAATAATGATTATTGGTGGTTTTCATATATGTCTTTCTCCATCTGAACATGTGTATCATGTCCTGCCCTGTCATTACTGTCAGGTGCTGTTTTAAACTGACAGATTCTACTCAAGTTTTCTTAATTCTCAACTATTATTTTTTTGTAAACGTAATCCTAGATCATGTCAGAAAATAAAGTAGTTGCAAATTAAATTTTTTAAAGTTTGGAGATTAAAAGAGAGTTTGGGGTCATTCTGGAGAAGCTTTGTTTTTACCAGATTCAAAGACAAGTGTTCACATGTCTAGGCAAAACAGTCCCACAATTTTCTGTTCACTTCTAATTTCCTCCTTTTATGTGAATTTGAATGAGACCAGATTCATGGAAATAATATCCATGATCATGTAATTAAAGACTATATTGTAACAAATTGTTATTTGTTACATTTTGTTACATACATAAATAATTGTTATATATTGTAACAATTTGTTGATCTGCTGGAGGGTAGGAGGGCTCT